TATTTTTGTTAACAAACGTAATAATAAAAAATGTTCATTATGGTAAATGAAATAATAATTAGATCTACGTAAGAGTTGTTTTTTCTTCCCAGTTTGTAAAAAATCCTTACGTGATAGATAAAAATTAATATTATTTTCAAAATCTGCGTAGCTGAATTATGGGAAATCCGTTATTAAAACAAAAACAACTTTTATGAAGTTTAAATTCACAGGCCTGTGTTGTCACTAACTGAGAACTGCAGTACAGCAACTAATATCAGACCTAAACCAAAACAACTTTTATGAAGTTTAAATTTGCAGGTCTGTGTTGTCACTAACTGAGAACTGCAGTGCAGCAACTAATATCAGACCTAAACCAAAACAACTTTTATGAAGTTTAAATTTGCAGGTCTGTGTTGTTACTAACTGAGAACTGCAGTGCAGCAACTAACATCAGGCCTTTTTAAGTCAGTGTTACATGTAAAGAAAGTCACAAACAAAGCTTAACAGGCACATTGAGAACTAAGTGCTACGTTTCAAATTACAACAGTTATAAATGGTCTTGAACACACTTTCATAGAGGTTGCTCAACTACAGCTCAATAAAAATAAAATCCCATTAACTAACAAACTTATCACAACTAGAAATCTATATATGCCTTTCAGTCTGGAGCAAGAAAAACGTTGTTAAGTTAATTTATGCTTAGGAAGTTAAGCTTCAAGAAAAATAACCTCTACCTGAAAAAATTTACAAAATCATTGAGACTTGATGAATTTAAGAGGAAAAGTATTTGTGCAAGACTGCTCATAAGATTTTTAAAGACGTAAAGGTAGTTATAAACAAGTAAATAAATCTATTTAAGGACCACATCTAACCTATATAAAAGCCAGTGTATGTCACGTTATGCTTGATTTCTCGAAATAGGAGGCAGTCATAAAAGCCAAAATGCATTTATTCAGATAGAATAGTTTGATTACTGTCTACCCATTATGATTTTAGTGACAGGGATGCAAGAAGGCCGTGAGGGGGAAGGTGCCGTGAAACCTTATAAGTGTAGTGAGTGTTGGTATAATAAGCCTAAATTAAAGTGTATAAAATTCATCATGAAAGTAAAAATATCGATTTAATTTTCAATTTAAATTGTTTCTGAATGATTTTAGTGACAGGGATGCAAGAAGGCCGTGAGGGGGGAGGTGCCGTGAAACCTTATAAGTGTAGTGAGTGTTGGTATAATAAGCCTAAATTAAAGTGCATAAAATTCATCACGAAAGTAAAAATATCGATTTAATTTTCAATTTAAATTGTTTCTGAATTAAGCTAATTTCTGTCATATCATCAAAGTTTTTAATACAAAACAAACCTTTTTAATCAACGGAAACACTAAATTAAAAAAAACCAACAAATATTTTTCAGTTTTTGTTGTCTATACATTTCATTTTATACTTTCGGTACATGGACTAACAACAATATTAGGTTATACTTTTGTTGCTAAGCAACATGCATAAAAGCCATTGTTGGAATGTAGTGTTACCATAGTGGACTGGCTTTTCTATATATTAAAAGTTGTTAATCTAACTGATTTCTAACAATAATCATTCTATGAGTACACCACAAATTCATTTTATGAGTGGTCTTAATTTTGATTGGTTCACAAAGAAATTTACCAATGTTTGACTGCCTCGACTGCACTTTCCTGCCTCTTTTTTGGTCAAGCTTGATTTTGCAAAATCTATTTATCTCAGCTATGAAATGTGAGATTAGGGTATTCTATGGGGTGGGGTGGTAATACTTGCCCTCTCATTTTTGACAGGCTATGCACTAGTTCCAAAATATAAAACAGAATACCAAAAGCAATAATAATCCCCGAATATACTTGGGACCCTTAAAATAATACACAAGTATATATATCAAATTAAAATTGCACCACCATACAAAAATATTTAATGACCACAAAATAATATGAAAGAAAATTAACACACCATTGTATATTACCTTTAATGATTTTGTTCATCTTCAATACTATAGCATAATGTTGATCATTAGAAATGCTTTATCATCATCATCACACCTTGCAATACACTAACGACTTGATACTTTATATTAAATTTATGGGCCAAGTTCCACCATCCATGAGCTTTTGCTGTCTTGTAAGACAGTCATTTATACCAAACCATGAGTGTGTGCTTTGTCCTGTAACATTGTCCTTTAGACCAAACTATGAGTCTATACTTTGTCCTGTAACATAGTCCTCTAGACCAAACTATGAGTCTATGCTTTGTCATGTAACATAGTTTAGACCAAACTATGAGTTTTATTTTGTCCTGTAACATTGTCCTTTAGACCAAACTATGAGTCTATGCTTTGTCATGTAACATAGTTTAGACCAAACTACGAGTTTTATTTTGTCATGTAACAAATCGTTAGACCAAACTATGAGTTTTATTTGTCATGTAACATAGTCCTTAGACCAAACTATGAGTTTTATTTTGTCATGTAACATAGTC